GGGGAGGGAGGGGGTGGTTTCGGCCCCACTGCAAGGGTTAACTTTTGTAAATGCCGGCGTTCCCCTTTAAGGCTCGGCATGTTTGCTATCTATGTATCCGGCGTCGCCCCGGCGCGTCTTTTATACTTTTATTACATTTTAGGGTTTTATTTCCCCAAATTATCCGTTTGATAAACATTTGCGCAAATATCGCGCAGCATAAAAAATTGCAGCGGCTGTGTTTTCATTCCTCGGGGTCCCCCGCTCATTGTTTGGGGGGTTTCCCGCGCGTGTGTGTGTGTGTGAGAGGTGAAGAAAGTCTCCGGGGGTGAAGGGGTTAAACCTTGCGGAGACTCCGGGATAATGGCGGCTCTCCAATGACATGGCGCTCCTTTATCTGAGGTGCTGCCTGTCACCGGCTCCCATCATGAGGACGGATCGCTTTTCAATCCCTCGCGGGGCGGGATGGCGTGCCGGACGGGTCGCACCTGTGGGCACTCCCCAACTAATGGAAATATCTGAAGCGTTCTCCGAGTCTGCGGACAATAACAAGTTACTGTGTTACAAACCTTCTCTGTCGGCCGATCAAACGTTTTTCATCGTCACGCCAACGACTGTGACGCGCAGCAAGCGATTGCTCTGGGGGGGGCGGGGGGGTTCGCGACGTTCCAGGACCCCGGGCCGAGCTCGGACAGTCGGGGGTGAACCCATCTGATAAGGAACTACAACTCCCAGCAAGTTTCAACACGCTGCCAGCTTTTGCTTCCCACTGAAGAGTCTCACTCCTCCTGCTGCAATAAATAAACGAATAGTCCGGCCAGGAGGCTGGGAACTCAGAGACCTCGTCATCACCGTCCCATAAACATGAACATTTATACAAAGCCAACACTTTTATTTCATCAATAGAGTAGGAAAGGGTTAAAAACTCCTAAATGCGTCTCACTAGGAAGATTTCACTTCCTGTCCTGTTGACACAACAGGAAGTGAAGGAAGTCCCCCCAAAGTGAGGGAAAGCCCCTTTTAGGTAAGGTTTCAGTGTAAGAGGTGTCCCCATTGGATGAGATCCTTTATTTCCTGTGCTGCTGACACAACAGGAAGTGAAGGAAGTCTCTGGGGGAAAGCCCATTGAGAAGGTCTTTAGTGGAGCCGGTGTCCCCCGTCCCAGGTGTCCCCAACCCCGGTGTCCCCCGTCCCCAGTGTCCCCGTCCCCGGTGTCCCCCGTCCCCAGCGTCCCCGTCCCCGGCGTCCCCGTCCCCGGTGTCCCCGTCCCCGGTGTCCCCGTTGGACGATTTCTCCTCTATTTCTGATCCGGTGACAGCTCTTTCCTCGGGTGTTTTCACTGCACATTGTGCTACATACCAATGCATGTCATGACGCATTTACATGATATGTCAACATGCAACTATGACACGCCTCCTAATGCCGGCATTGACCTGTGTTCTCGTATTTTTCCAAACACATCGAGCGGCAACACAGAGAGGTAAAAATAGAACTCTAAACAAGGAAACGGCGACATACACAGCAAAGAGAAGTCTTTATTACAGGAGGGGGCGGAGACACGACCTGTCATAGTGCACAAGGAGAGAGCAGCAGTGAGCGGTCTTTATTACAGGAGGGGGCGGAGACACGACCTGTCATAGTGCACAAGGAGAGAGCAGCAGTGAGCGGTCTTTATTACATGAGGGGGCGGAGACAAGACCAGTCACCCTGCACAAGGAGAGAGCAGCAGTGAGTGGTCTTTATTACAGGAGGGGGCAGAGACACGACCTGTCATAGTGCACAAGGAGAGAGCAGCAGTGAGCGGTCTTTATTACATGAGGGGGCGGAGACAAGTCACCCTGCATAAGGAGAGAGCAGCAGTGGGCGGTCTTTATTACAGGGGGGGGCGGAGACAAGACCAGTCCCCCTGAGAGCAGCATATGCGCACTCTACACTGGACGCATTGATACGTCTTCTATCCTGAGAGCACCGATATATAAAACCTGTCGGCGGTCCAGACCCGGGAATATGTCCCCGACCTCCGCTAGCCTCTCAGCATTCCCCGGGCGCTGTGCACATGGCCGCTCAGTGCTCGTCTACCAACGCCGGGGCTGTTGCCATCATTTCATTCCTCGATTTCTGACTCTTCCCCTTATTTTGGTCTTTCTTTTGGCAGCGGCCCCTCCTGACGCCCGTCCCTGGGAGGCTCCGCACCTCGCTCTCTCCCTCCTGACGCCCGTCCCTGGGAGGCTCCGCATCTCGGTCTCACCCTCCTGACGCCTGTCCCTGGGAGGCTCCGCATCTCGCTCTCTCCCTCTCTGCCCGTCCCTGGGAGGCTCCGCACCTCGCTCTCTCGCTCTCTCTGCCTACGTGCGTCACTGGGACAATTGCTATAGGTGACAGGTCCCTTATCAATGCACCTGTACGGAGGGGAGGGGGCGGGGACGGAACCTGCAGGTAGGTGAGACTTCCAGACAGACAGGTCGGGCCAGATTCTGGGAGCTGCTCCGGGCCAGGTGAGACTGGCTGACAGTCAGGAGACGAGCGAGTACCTGGTCAGAGCCGGAGGAGGAGGAGGTGAGGGAGCCGAGACGGCAGAGACCCGAGGACCGCCGTCACCCAATACTTCTGAGTTGTCACCAGAGGGAAAATCTACCTGCTGGCTTGTTTCCTGTGACAACTGACTGGGACGGAGATTCCGTTCACTTTATTTTTGTTACATTGTTACTTTGTCAGGTGGGGAAAAAATATTCTGCCGATAGAGATCCCCGCTGATAGAGAACACTGCCGATAGAGAGCCCCGCCGATAGAGAAGCCCGCCGATAGAGAACCCCGCCGATAGAGAAC